AAAGAGGTTCAAGTAATTCATAATTTATGAAATAATCGTCTGAGTTTTCGAAGAATGGCGGTTAGTTGCTTTTCAGTTTACTGCGTATTATCCTTCTCATTGATGGGTTTTAGAAACGTCTCATCAAAAAGGATAGGTATTATTTTGTATACGTATTCATCGAAGTTCATCAATACACCACCCACGCGTTAATCAGGATAAACCAGTATAACCTTCTCGTTGTTTCTTAGTTCTCTGGTTTTCTAGTTAATATAAACCGACAGTTTGGCATTGTGCTAATAAAATTATGACAACTGTCAAGAGCCATCTGGTTGAAGTGTTTCAGACGCTTTCTGGATGGAGATACTAAGACATAAATGTGATTTATGAAGTTTTAAGATTGAACTTGAGTGTGACGTATGTTGATGTTTGGAAACTATGTAAGAAATTTAGGACCTAGGGATAATGCCACTGGATGAACCATAGAAAATTCAATATTTGATAAATTGAATACATATTTTCCGGACAGCTTTGTAATCTGCTAACTGGTATATTGCGTCTTTGTACACATCACATTCTTCTAACTATAAAATTTCGATTTCTCATTACATTTACCAGTTTGATTATATCACTTAACGTTGCAACTTAATGCCAATTTTGTCGCAATAAATCTTCTTCTCATTAATATTTCAAACATTACCTAATTCACTTTGGAAGTTTGTGAGGATTTATTTATCGATTTCAGTTTGGTATTCATCATGAACTGACACCAGTTGGGGAAGCATTGGGGACTTTGGGGCAGCGGACAGCTGTTTCAAATGAGTATGGGACTGGTCAGCAATGCGCACCTATGACTGTGCCAGGGGTCAAACTCATAACTTCCAGTTTCTAGAGCCAGCGCGTTACCATTGACCCACTGGTTCGCAGTCCAGTGTTTCACATCTCCTAATTCTGCCGGTTCACGATGCAGCACCACCTTAATTCATTGCCATCGTTGGGGAACTGTCCTCACGTCCGACTTGGTTGGCTCTACCACGCTACTGAAGAGTCTCATGTTAGGGCGAAACGGCTTTCCAGTACTCCAAGGTTTCCACTGTCTCTCCAACTGATATCGGTCTGTGATGAAAACGAAGCCAAAATCAATAAATAGATCCCCATAAGCCTCCAATTTGAATTAATCTAGTGCTCACCTGTGATTTTCTTCGAGATGTGATTCACGAAGTCCAAATGGGAAGTAGTGACCGATGGGGCCAAGCTGACCAGACGTGAGGACAGTTACTCACTGACGGCTGTGGAAACTGAAGATCCTGGGTTTATATCTCGGTGGGGTCATGAGTACGCACTGCTGAGTCCCATACTGAGACGAAACAGCTGTTCAGTGTTTCCAGGTTTCCACTATTTGTCCTAATGATGTCAGTTCATGATGAAAAGCAATCTGAAATCATTACTTGGTACTTTTTACGATCTCCTGGTATATAATCAGAAACTGAAGTTCTTCCAAAAATGTTTATGAAAAATTCGTTTTCTGTTGCTACCTGAATATAACGTTTATATGGGATTGTACATTTTAAAATTGATATAAGTGAAAAGACTGTCTCTTCGCCAAACATTCGTTTTAGTATATCAAAGTATTGGTAGCTTGTAGTCTGTGACAACTTTGGAATCATTTTATATTCGGAGAAACTTACTAATTGTCAACACCTCTTACCAATGTGTGAATATCTGGGAAGAGAAGGATAATCACAGAAATAATTTGTAGGTGCGTTCCGAACAATCAAGAAAATTAGGAGTACACCAGTAATTTAAAATTTTGTGACTCAGTATACATATCTGTTTGTTAAGTCCAAAGTCCAATAGTCCTCACTAGCATTGGCTTAAGCGTACAGCCACTGTGTACTCTTCTATATGCATTCAGTAATCACGTTCACATTCTCTGTCACACTTGATCTATCTATCGTTGGGTAGCCGACTTAGCTAACCTTTTCAAACCGATATTTCAAATCCGTTTGTTTATTTACAGGAGGTTAACAAGTAAGAAAGTCTGATTTAAAGTTAATTGTCCTGCAAAGGATTTCTGAAAGACGACATTAGTAGGTTGTTAACTCTTGTGGGATTTGAAGTTTAAAGTTAAAATCAGAGACAAAACGTAGGGGATGCAGTTTTTGATATCTTAAGTACTACGTGTTATTTTGAGTAGTTTTGGACGTAATCTACTACAATGTCGAATTCCGTACAGATTAGTGTAATTTGTAGTCATTCAAGATGTAATCAAAGAAGCTTTAATTTACACTGACATTCAACCCTTGTTTTGTTACACTACCAACGCCTACATGCATACAATCAAATGGGTTAAAGTTGGAAAAGAGAATGTCTGTGCTATATTCACCTTCATTTTGCTTACCTATGCGTAATGCACTTGAACCAATTCCAAACACATATAAACATTTTGGACAACTTTCCCGAAAAGACGCCTACGAAGTAATTTATTCTATGAAGACCTGTTAATAGAAATTAAGGTTTTTGTAGTTTATGCGTAATAATTCCTACAAGGTTTGGGTCTTTGGTAAAAACTATTTCAATAGGTCATATACACAGGCTGCTAGAAGATTTCATGGGAAAGATAGTTGTTCACTGTAAGACTATGACGTCGTATACGGTAATGAGACTCCATTGAAAGTGATGGATTTTATTGTTGAGTGACTTCTTAACCTACACTGCCTTTGTACTCATAATAGATATCCAATACTGTTTCACACTATCTACAAATTCTTGAAGGAGGAGCTACTGCGATTCCATATTGCATATGAAAACGATGTTTATTGCACTGCTCAAACCTCTTTATTGCAACTTGTACAGAAGGTTGTATGCAGCTGAAGAGATCTTGGAAAATAAGATGACATCATCTTATTCTAAATGTGATATTTGATCGCAAAGTTGAATCCTGTCAAGAAAAACAAATACATCAAATTTTTACATAGCTTTTCTCAGATCAGTTTATACCTAAGAAACATAGGTTTGACCTTTATTTTTTATTCTCAAACACTGAATACTGTTAGATTTTTTGTGTTTATAAAAGTAGTAAGTCAGATTAGGACTAGACAAGGAACAAGGAAACAGCAGATAGCCTGAGGTTCACAGCAGATGCAGTAGTGAGCACACTGAGAATTAGTCGATCAAAATTTAATATATCTTTTGCATTGTCAGTCTGAGTTTAGTATTTTTGAGCATTGAGAATTAAAAGCAACCGCTCCTGAAATCCATTATGAGAAATTATCTTACTTGGAATTTATATTATTATTATTATTATTGATTGCTGAATATTGCCAAAGACAGCAAAGCCTTATAATATCAAATGTGTCATCTAGTTAGATCGTCTGGCTCTTCCTGATTCATCTTTCGAAACAATCAAGGACGACAAGCTGAAGCAATTCAAATGCCTGCTATTAGACTACTTTTGGATAATAAAAGAAAAAGCTATAAAATACTGAAATCTTCAATTCTGCAGTTGGAAACATTTTGTCAAACGCTTTTCTATGATTTTGCTTTATTGTTACCCTTTTCACTTCTTTACTCTCCTTTATTACTTTGTGATCGACAAAACTATTACCAGTCACAACGATGTTTCATTTTTTAGTGACAAAAATCTACTACTGTTCCACATTCTCAGGACATTTTTGTCTCTTTCATGATACTACTTCATGTTTCCGAATCTGACACTTCCCTTTAACCTGCATGTATTGGCCAAGGGAATCTAGTGTGAATTATCAGCTCTTAACAACTATCAAAACTAATATTGGTTAACCCAGAGAATTTATGTACTGTAGTTGATAAACTAGCAAGTATATTTCATTATGAGTTAATTTCTTCTTCAGGTAAACAATCCATGATAAATCAAAAGTAATTCAAAGTGATGCTTAAAGCTGCTAATAAAGCGAAACTAGAAATGTCTTGCAATAGAAAACATTGTGAAACTTAGCCTAGAATATTCTTCCCTATTCGCTTTATTGATGCTGATTTTGGCAATCTAGGTACTAACCTCTAATAAACAGTAGGTTGTGGAAACACTATCCAAATGTCACCGGAAATCAATTTAAACGTCAGGCAATAAGCAGTGATGTTGATTCTTCATAAGTGGTTGACTTTCTATGTCCTGGACATGTACTAAGTAGAGTGCTTCTGCTAGTAGTCTTTTAGAAATCTTTAATTATTCTAACAGTTTGTATAAGTACGATTTCACATAAACCACTGATTTAACTTGTCTTGAAAACATTATGCTGCTTTATTTGACTACCGGAAAAATAGTGTAAGTAGTGTATATACTAAGCTGATAATTCAAAATACCTATATGAATTCAAAATTATTCCAGCGAAATGGCTGTGTTGTAACTCAATGATTAAAATAAGGATTTAACTTTAATGACCTAAGTGATAGTGAACTATGACTTCACCACCTTCTTTTAGTATTTCTGAATAATTAAGAAAACTGAGAAAAGGGAAATAGTTTATCGGTTATTTGATGAAACATAAAAATAGAAATAAAACGTGAAATCCAATATTTGCAGTAAAAATAGTGCAAGGGAAAATAATAGATTGTATCAGAACGTCAAAGTAATATTATTCAATTCTATGCAGTTATATGCATTTCACTTTAAAAAGCATGAAATCGGAGATCATAACACAAAGGTAAAGCAAAAAATAAGTGATGTACAAACTAATCTAAAAGTAGGATAACTAACTAATAATATTCTAGCATATTATAAATAATGGGCAAAATAAAACAAAAATACTTCTGAGTTGAGAGGGTTTAAAATGAATTTAAACAACAATGAATTAATTGTCAGTCGGTTTGTTGAACAACGGCGAAACTATTGTACATTCACGCTGACAAAGTTTGAGCACAATCACTATGGCTTCAGCAAATAGAAAGATGCTAAAATTGATATTTATTTTACAATAGGGTAATGCAGAAGAAATTAAAATGAAATGCAGCATTTAATGCACAAAAAGGTTGTTTGTATTTGTGTAAATGGCAAAGCAAATATTGATGTATCACTGAACGATACAAAACAGACTAGTGAAATAAATTTCAGGAATAAAAGCTTTTCATTTCCATTAAGAATATCATTTGAGTGTATATTGAAAATCAAACTTCATTTTCCTCTTGTTTAAGATACATTTATCAATCTAAATAACCATACACATGATTATTCATTTTCTGATTTCTGTGTTTGTGGAGCAGCCTTAGAAAGGATACCAGTCGGGGGAACAGTTGCATTTTTCCCCTCCTCTAAATGAAATCTTCGATAATACAATTGGATTTGTGTAAAAACACATTTCCAGTCAGGTACTTTCATACGCATTAGGTCTTCAATATCAAGTAGTGGAGCAACATTACCAAGTTTTCTGTAAAAGTGAAAAGAAATAGTGACTTATTAGATACTATTAGGTAGCTATAAGTTAAAGTATACATTACTCTTTTGAAAAAAACTCAAATCAAGATTCCAAAATGTATTATAATGATAAAAAGAAAATTGAAATCCAAATATACTTATATACTGAATAGATAGGAAAGAAAAACCAGTTTAAAAAAATAGAATAAAACAAAAATGCACAATAATTGGAGCTATTGCTTTTCGAAACAGTATGGATCAAGAAAAACCAATAGAAATTGAATACTAAAGAAATCAACAACAAGAACATTATGCAAGTGAGAGGAGATAATTGGAGATTATTAAAATGTTAAGAAACGTAAAGGTAAAGAAGAGTGAATAAATTCACATCACTGTAATTACTTTTTGACAAGTAACCAAAGATTTCCAGTCATCGATTCATTATAGTCTTGACAACTAAAGTTCAGTAGTCTGCATTTCAGAATAACATTTACTGACTCTAGTCCAGACGTTGGTTTGAATTCTAATAGTAAGTGTCATGCCTTTTAAACTATACGGAAAATGTACTTGCAGAATTAAAAATTTTGAGGTCCAATATGGACTAATGTAATGGGTGGAAAATAGTTTTGTGACGGGCTTGTAATTGTTTTTTGTTCAGATAGACAAAACGTCGGTATCAATAATCAATATCAAAGGGACATTATTCTACAATGTCTAACTGAAGATAATTGTTTAGATGTAGCGTCGTGCCGACTTCATTACAGTTTTTGAGGAAATGTTTATTAGTTTCCTTTCAGTTGGCTTACGTTACTTAGATGAATTAATTTGGAATATTTTAGGTCGCTATGTTTATTTAAGTAACAAAACTAACAGGATATTTGGTAACTGAACGGGGAGTCAACCAACAAATACATGACATTCAGTAGTGTATTGGCTATTGAAGTGGTTTTTTATTTGTAATCAGTTTATTACTTAATTCTATGTTCCCGTCACTCTTGAATTGCATGACACTTATGTGAAAAGGTGCGTAAATTAAGTACAAAGTGTTTATCAGTATACCAAAACTGGTTTGATCGGGCACGTTTTAGACTGAGATATTAGATATATAGTCAGATTGAGAAATAAATTCGCGATTCCCATTGTGACACCATAAACAAGATATTCTGCGTATAGCACATTTTCCATAGAATTTATTCTAATACTACATTTGTGTACATATATATATATATATATATATATATATATATTGAAAGACGATAATCCATGAATACAAGTAAATCTGAATAGTGGGAGTCAGAAGAAAAAACGCGATGGTTATATTTATAATAGTGTTGCTGGTTGGTAACACAAAAGTTGGAGGATAAAAAGGATTGGTTAAGTGAAGTTTTTAGATGAGATAACTGGGTGACATCCCATATGCGTTCAAGAATTGTCACTGAGCGTTCGAGTTCACCCTAGAAAAGTAGTTGGAATCAGTTGTTCCTTTTTTGATGATTTGATTACAAGGCACAGACATGAAACATTAAAATGTGTCTACAGGAAACCCGCATGGAACGGAAAACTGAATAAATCATACAACTGGGTGTCGATCATAAGGAAAAAAACCTTGATTCAGTCGCTGTGATAGCACCGATCGTGTACAAGTGTAACTTGACTTATTGGGAAGTAGGCTTACACAGAAAGGTTTTCCTAGCCGATTTGTCGCTAAAAATATTTGAGAAAGACCTCTGAAACCAGTCATCAATTCAGTTTTTGAAAAAACTGCTTGTAAATCTGGAATTTAAAGGTTATATAACACCAGACATTCTTGAAATCCATCTTTTGAGGTTAATTAGCAAAATATTTACCGGAGCCAAACTTCCATTAGCCTTTATTAGCTCCAAGTTGTTGTGTGTATATGTAAAAGGAAATATCCTTTGGCAGGCCACCTTCATGTACATTCACCTGTTCACCTACTCTAGTGGAACAATGTACATCAGTCTTAGCCAGAGACTGCTATCAAAACGTACACAAGAACATTTTCCAGGGATAAAAGTTAATGTATTTGTAGTTCTAGCCTTATATATTCAATCGTTTCAAACCATTCGAGACACAAATAATGATTTTACATTTGTCGACTGAATCGGCTGAAATATTTCACGTTTCCTCTGTCTTTAACTTTTAAAAAAGGTAAAGGTCTTAGATATCCATGATCTAACATTTAACACTTGTACGAAAAAGAAGTAAGTAGAGTGCACACCTTGACCTTGATTTTTTTCGTTTTGCTTCTTCAACTTCTCCCTTTGTTAGATTAATTTTGGACTATTTAATCGTCATTATCGGCATTAATTTTATATATAATAGCTTAAGGTGTTGCTTTATTTGGTCCTCCCAATAACTGCAATTTTTAAAAACATTCCCATTTTATTTAAATTAACTTCTCTCATTAGTATAACCTGATCCTTTTGTTGGTAAGTTGGCTCTACAATGTTTCCACCCCTCTGTAAACTACATGCACTCTGTGAACTGTCTGGAAAGCTTACTAACCCATTTTCTGATATCACTTAATCTTAACGTCATCAACTAGCAACATTATTGTAATTATAACCTTCATTTTTGTTCTTCCAGTCTCCCGTTATTTGAATTTACTTTTTTTTACAAATTATAGTCCGTAAACACCATGTATGTATATACATAATAATAATTTTCTTGTAAAAATTCTTCTTCCTTGAAACTGAGTAATAACTTAATTCAGAAGAGGTATCTGTTGCAATCAGGAGATTATTTAAATCAGAAACTAAGCAGTGACGTTAATGATGAGTCAGCATAATCGCCTCTATGTCCTACCATTAATTTTATTATTTCACTACGAAAATAATTGTCTTGATATTTCCATAATAAAAATAATTGGCAAAAATTTGAACTAGGAATAATTGTGATCATATTAAGCCATAAACTCAGGACAGTTATTGTTATCTACTGTACCGTCGAATTGTGATATTCCTCTAATCCACTTGCGTTCGCATATCAATTGCTTTAAAAATAATAAACTATGACAGAAGTTTAGTGTTGAATTAACTTCAATCGATTAATTTTGTTCATATGTTGTAATTGCTTATTACAGTGTATGGAGAAAAAAGGTGGACAGCAGCTTAAAACTTGGATATGTCACTTTTAACATACACTCTGAAAAGAATTGAAGTATCGTGTTATAAATAAAACCGAAAAATTTCTAGGGCGTAATAACCAAGAAAGTATTTGTTTGCTAGACAATGTTAAAAGTATAATTATTACTTTGGTTCTGAAGATTTTACGGTAGTAGAGAAGATTTGTATTAGACGATGGGAATGATAGGGTTTTGGTGTTCTGTAAACCTAGAGGTTTGCTCTTTGATGTTTTCTTACCACGCTGGGTTAATCCGTCAGCATTTATTTCTGAAGATTATTCCAGAATACATATATTTATGATTTTATTCCTTACTTTTGTGAAATAAAACCTGAAACGGTTCGCACTTTTTAAAAATCATTATCAAAGTCTGAATGACCACGTAGCTTAAAACAGTGATTTATTAAAATCAAATTTATGCTTAATGGGTTTGTGTACTTGATATAGCTTGATTATATCGGTGCATACAATTAAGAAAATACTTTTAGATTAAACCCTTGGAAATCAAAACCGTGGTAAGTCAGCAAGTGCATTGAAACGTCGAACTTTGTATAAAATACAACGGTTCATATATTAATAATGAACTTGGCTACATTTTAGTCGTTTCTAGAGAAAAAGTATACTGTTGGATTTGTTGCTTCAACCAGTCTTATTTTGATACATTATCATGTACCTTTTCTGAAAACCCAAAGGTAAAATGATTGGTTATGAAAGGTTTCAAGGATTTGGGGTTTCTTTGAATGATTTGGACAATTTTATATCACGCAATAACAGTACTGAATAATGCGTCATGATAAGAACTGAAAGAAGCGTTGTTAGCAATGTTATTACAACCTAAAAACTACTCAAAGTAAGACGTTGGAAGTAAATTATTGTTAATTCATAAAAAACACATGAGACTTGTTAGTTTATGAATGTGATTGGAAGTGAGATAATCCTGTTCCAGTGGTTTCAGTGTCATATAGGTTTAAATATATTTATATATTGATTGGGCTATATTTGTCAATTTGTCTGGCATTGGTGGATCAAATTAAGAAGCTGTAAAATTATATGTTGTTTTTTACTCAAAAACATAAATAAAAAATAAGATGCTTGTTCACATTTTATTAACTTAAGACACCCGAGAGAGTTTTCATCTTATCACTTATCAGGTTGATGAAAACAGCCATAGTAGATGCTTCTTTAAATAAAAAAGTGTATTCTATTCAGAAATGTTCCTCACAGGCTTTCTGTTCACATAGTCGTTTGGTGGTATGACAAGTTTTCAACTAGCAGATACTTTAGTATCTTATTCTAAGCAGCTTGAATAACTGTTGTTATGTATTATACCCGTAATCCATCTACCAGCATACTTGAAATCTTGTAAAATTTAACATCTACACTTTCAAGTCTGCCTTGTTACTGTCTAATAGTTTGTCTGTCCTGATGAGGTTATGTTTGTCTCATACTTCAGTAAATACGTGACATACCTGGTAACATTTTTTCCATATTATGTTTATAAATCTGAAAAGTTTCTCATAAATTCACAAAATAACACTTTGTTTTTCTACTTCATGGTATGAACTTGACAGATTCATTTAGATTCTCGAGTTTGCGTAAATATGTGTCCTATTCCACGATAAGTAGAAGATGCATAATACTGCACTCTAGTCTTTTATTTATATTATGACTAACTCAAAATGTTACCTCTTATATCAGATAGTAAACAGAATTAAGGGTTTATGGTTTTTGGATTATTCTACTGCATTCCAAAATTTATCAACCAGCAAGCTTTCATAAAAACTTTATTTGACAAGTCAATGTTATCGTTGATGTGGATGTACACTAGCTATTAAGCAGTTCGCTTTCAATAAACATAATATTTAAGGA